GTAAACCTAGCTGACCCACACATTTTTGCGAATTTCTCGGAAACCAAAGGAACACCTAAATTAATTTTGGAGGCCCTAATTAACACCTAAAAGACACCTAATTCCTAGCTAATTTTTATTGATTTTTGGCGACTTGGGTCAGCCAGGTTTATGGACGTTAGAACCGGCTGTGGTGGGAATGTAGAACCGGCTGTCGTGAGAATGATCTAACCCCGTTGCACTACCCCTCGTGTTACCTCCTTGCCACAAATATATTCCACTTTCTGAACAAGCGAAGTCTCAAAAAAATATATTGACGGGATTCTTCTTTCTGGCGCAACATTATGCGCTCATTTAATAATATTTAAATGTACCTATAATAGCTCAACCAGCTCATGTTAACGAAAACTCTCCACCGCATGACGGTGACGTAGCCGTTGCTTCTCTCTATCAACAGCAATTTCATGTTGATACGGACGGCAGGTACGGAAGGGCGCTCCGTCGGTGGCTGGTTGAGCTTTTCCTCTTTCACTAAAGTAACAAATAATCTACATATCTAAAAATAAGCAAAACGAAAAAACAAATCTTGAATAAAACAAAAATTACCTGGTCCGGTTCTTACTGTACCGCCATAAAACATTTACTAAAAGTTTTGGAGAATTCTGCAGTAACAGTCCTTGGCAAATAATGCATCTCTTTGCGGTAAGCGACAGTCGTGCTCTCAACAAGTCTCGTAATCGGCGATGTATTTAGTGAAATATTAATGGTAATGTTTCTTGCGTGAATATGTACGTTGGTGAATTAGATTTCATAGCCGAAAAGCGTATTTTTTCTAAATTTCACAGTTACATCGCGAGGCACATTGTTCATATGAGTTGTTATAACAACTGCTGCTTTATTATTTAAACTATTTTAAACACAACGCCATGAATAATAAGTAATTTAACGCATTAAGAACTATCTTCACTATCTCCGAAAATGTCGGCTTGCTGATAACGTGCCTGTGTCTTCTGCCGAATTGAAATCTTACGCTTGTCAGCGTTGGAAAGGGCTACTCTACCCGAAGGGGCCTCTGCACAACCCAAACCTTTTTTACCTTCATTTGACGAGACTTTGATCTAAGCAGAAAAAAAAGTACAATTAGTAAGTGCAGGTGATTTAAAATTGCAACAAAAACGCACCGGTTCTAAGAGGGCTGAGCCATCATTAGCCTTGCCCAGAGTTTCGCCCTTATTCCAACCAAGTTTAGAGAGCATTTTGAAACCTTTATTCTCGGAAGATATCTCACTAGAAACAGTTAGGAAGAGATTTAGAAAAAAAATTAGATTTAAAAAATGCAAATTAAAACAAATGTTGCGAAGATGTGCCTACGTATTAATCGAAGCTGTTTGCGTTTTCTCGCCATCAGTTGAGCTGCCGATTTGTATGCGTCTTGTTGCGGCACGATCATTATAGCTGCCCGTATTTTGTTTAGCCTCTACAAATTCTGAAACGATCGAAAATATTATGTACATTAGATTTAATATATATATTTAAGCCTGTATAATCTTCACGCACTCTCCTTCTCCAAGCCATACTTCTTCTGCAGCATCTTCAACTGCTCGCGATGGGATAGCACAATTGTATTGCCAGGAGTGACGTTACTTTCACGTGGCGACTCGATCAGCAAACCCGGCTCACACAAGCCACATGTGCTGTTGC